AATCTTCTACCCCAAATATGTCTGTTGCTAGGTAGCAGCCCCTGAACTGAAAAGGTCTTGAAATCAGAAATGCTAAACTGTCGCACTGACCATCCCAGATCAAGCATTTCCTTCCCTCTACCTCTAGTGCCTTCATGTGGCAAGTCCCTATGGAAACACCTAACTATTCTGCGTGACAATTTAAAATTAGCAACTTAAGGTCTAAATTAACAAGCATTTCTTTTCGCATTGTGAGTTGAAGTCTGTCTTATTATCACCACAGTAGGACAGAGTAAGAAAGAACATGTGTTTATATTATATACACACACATATACTAAATGTAACTACATGTGTGTGTACACATTGATGCTAGAAGATCATATTAAAAGGAAAAGAAAGTCCCAATGTAGCTGATCAATATTTCCTCAAACTTCTCTTTAAAGTGAATGACTTCGTTATATGAAGTTTATTTTTTTATTTATAAGGTACATTTTGTATATGAAAGAAAACACAAAAGAAATCCCTATAAAGATGAAACAGAATTCTTGCTCTATTTAACTAAAAATTTTTGCTTTAAATATTCCAAGGAAATGGTAATGAGTACAAGTATTGTTATTTGTAAATATACACAACTATATTTTCTAGAATGAATAATAACGGAAACTGGAAAATTGTCTTGGATTGTGGATGAGATAACAGGATAAACTTTAGTGATCCTGTGAATCTACTGTGTTCTTAGAGGTCTTCATCCAGCAGGGTCCCAGCATGTCTCTGCCCTGCCCTACACCATGGCCTAGGCACTAAATGAACTCCTGTCCAGGCCTTATGCTTCCCACTTTATAATCTGAGGATCATATAAAAAGGTATAACCCAGGATGAATATTCTGGGCATAAATAAATATAATTTATAATATAAATGGTGTAGGTCTAACTTTAAAATCCAATTTTATAAATTTATATCTCTATGTAAAGGGGAAATTTCATGAGGCTAAGCATTTTCAAGAATAAATTTAGAGAAAGAAGTGAGTATTTTTTTCCTAAAGCTTTTCAAAACTTTTATGGTTTTGTTATAAATTTTAAATTGAATTTTGGAAGAGTTCACAATCCATAAAATGCCCATGGCATTTCCAGAAACACTTTTTAAATTGCTGAATATAAGTTGAATATGCGTTTATCTGTTTCCCAGTGGAATATTTGCTCTTGTTACTAGACTGAGAAAAGGCACTAAGATATTCAGCTGCCTGAGAAAGTCCTTCTAATAAAGGATGCAGTGATAACTGTACTCAACCAGCAAATGTCTTACACAGCGACCTCTCCACAGACTCTCATCCCATTAACCACCATAAAAATTTCTCTACTGAAGAACTGCAAATGAATGAAAACTGTAACACCTCAAATTGGTAGAAACCATCAAAGAGCAGATCTTCATTATCATCTCATCAAAAGCTTCCATTAACCAATTCATCTCTTCTGCCTTTCCTTTGCATTTCTCATTGTTTTCTTTTAGAATTTTACTAGTTTGGAGCAACAATCTCAAGAGTGTCATATGAAAAGATTCTACAGAAATCTAGCAGTGTTCTTTAATGATCTGGAGTTCATGTAGTTTGGAAAGCTATTCTTAGAAGAAGGCTAAGCATCTTATTGAAGAACTATGGGGAAAAGCCCAATACTACATTCTGCATTGTTACTTGATATATTACGTGATTCAGGACCCAAACTACTATTATGAGTGACCTCAAGTGATCACAAGAGCACAGACTATGAAAATCACATGGTAACCTCAAAATTGCACTTAAATTACTGATGTGAAAACTCTGAGACTTTTATTAAAGCTATCAAACCTATAACATAAAATAACAACTCATCCCTGAGTTATTAAAAGGAAAAAGAAAGATAATATACATGGTGATAAGAACTAGAAAATCTGTACCTGGGAAGTCAAGTTCTGAATAATAGAGAGAGGAGGGTGGATATGCCCATAGCATTTCTCTTATTAAAATATTAATATTCAATGACATAGGAACATTATACCTGTTAGTGACATTAATAATTGCTAGTTAAAAATAGTTCAACTTTGTATCTGATAGTAATTTACAAAAAAATCCAATTTATTAAGAAAACTTTTAATAAATAGTCTTACCACAGCCCCTTTGGCTTTGTGCGTCTTGATAAGCTGTGGGTGAAGATTTCTATAATTCCTTTTACTCACAGTCATCTCTTTCTACTTACCTTGACACTTTTGCCCACATTGTTATTGGGTAACATTTCTTATATTTTTCCTTAATTTTCTTTTTATTTTCTTTGTGCATATGCTATTCCCATTACCTATCAACTTCCTTAAGATCAGAAAGCAAATTGTTGAGCCCCACGCACTGTTTTCTAAAGGCTACAAGAATGTGTGTGTATGTGTGTGTGTGTGTGTGTGTGTGTGTGTGTGTGTGTGTGTGTATAGAAACTCTTAGGAATACACCAGTGTCATCTTCCAAAGGGATACCATTTCAAAGCTATTGACAGAATATCACTGCACCAATATAGTCTCATTCGGGCTGGCTCTATATAACTGGACAGTCCAGTAAGACAGTACTTGACACTGGATGTAGACCTGAAACTTGCTCTTGTTTCCTCTTCCAAAGTGTCTCTTCCAATACTATTTACCAGGGTGCAACTCCTAGGAAGGTCAGACGCTCTGCATTCTCACCTGGCCACTACACCCAGGCGCCAGTGTCACAGTAAGGAGACTAGATGAGAGAGGAACTGAGGGCATATTGTAGGCTTTCCTTATCTCGTCTCACTATGCTTATCACCAAGAGTCTAAATATGCTTCTCATAAAGGTAGAGTTCAGAAATGGTATTGGAAATGTGACAGTAGATTCACTGAGTCCATCGTTAACTAATTGTAGAGTCCTACTATGTACTAGGTACTATTCCAGGACTACAGTGAAGAATCAGATTGATAAGATTTCTACTTGTGTGAATCTGCTCATATAGCAGGGTGGGTGACATGGCAAAAACAGATAGCTTAGTGTAGGAAATATGTATGAACAATGATGTTTAATGGTGATAAATGTTCCAAATAAAATAAAGCAGAAAGATTTGAGTTGGAGTCAGAGTTTTCAAGGAAATAGATTTAATACAGGACATAACAATATATAGGATTATTTATAATATTCAACCAAAGAGCCAAATGGAGAAGAGTACAGGAGATCTGTTCACATACTAGACACCCCAAAAATTCAGTTGAGGGCCTGGGTCTTATGGCAATGTCCTGTACAAGTCCAGTTGAAGGCCTAGAGCCCAGCTGGTTGACCATGAGTTAACCCATCACAATGCGGATTAGGTAAAAGGGGTTATTAGGCAGGTTCTAATTTAGCCAGAGTGGTCTGGGAAGACCTTGCTCAGATACAGATTGGCACCAGCTGATGTGAAACCAGGCTCTGGGGTGCACGGAGCAGGGAACTTGTTGCTGAAGAAACATCAAGTGTCCAACTGAGCCTCAAGTACAAAGAACAGAGAGAAGGCGTATATGATTGGAGCATGACAAGTAATAGGCAGAGTGGCATAAGATAAGATCAAAGGAATAAAACAGGCGAGGGGATGCAGGACTATGAACCTCAGGAATAATTCAGAATTTTATTCTAAGTGTAATAGAAATTCTGTTGAGGCCATAACACGAATGTGATAGAGTCAAATTTGACTTCAGTGATTACTTTGGCCACTCTATGCTGAATACCTTAGGTGGCAACCAGGACATGGAAGCTGTGAAATGCTGTCCTAGTAGTCAAACTGACTTGTAAGGAAGTGACCGGGAGCTAATGAAGAGTGGATGAATTCAGGATAAGTTTGCAAGGGGTTGATAAAGAATTAAAAACCAGAATGAATGACAAGCAGAATCAAGAGTGGTATGGAGGGTTGAACTGAAGAATTGGCTACAACTATGCCAACTATTGAAATGTAGAAGAAACACTTAGAACTGGGAAAGAAATAATAAATAACTAAGAGCATTTATAAAAGTGAAAGGTGGTGAAAGCAATTATGAAATAAGTTTATTCTAAAGCAAAATTACTTTCAATTCAACATGATTTTCCTAGCAAAAATTTTTACTGTATCTTAATATATAGCCGTACTCATTGAATTCTCTGAAGTGAAGAATTTGTGAACAAAAATTGCCATCATGAGTAGAATAAGATTTAGAAGCTTCATATTGGATAGGAAGCAAATTCATATATATGTACAAATATATACAGATGGGATTTAAACACATGCCAAACTAACAGATAATATTTACTTGTAAGTAGATTCAAAGAAACATGTCTGAAGAATAAATGAGCTTAAGTTCCAATCAAAAATAATATTATTAAGGGACTAAATTTCATGATATAGTTTATGTCTAGATGTTCCCCCAATGCCTCATGTGGTCATTAGCGGTGCTTGTACAAAAGTGACTCGATCTCAAGTGTGTGATGCTGGGGTTTACTAAACCTGATTTGTTTGCCACAACCCTAATCCTGGTAGCCTAGACAGAGTATAAAAGGTGCAGAAAAAGGCTGCAAAGATATCTTGCTTGCTTTGCTAGCTTCTTCCCACCATGAACCGTTTCTCCTCTGCAATGCCTGTCTGCCATGCCAGTTTGCCTTTGAGTCAGCCAATCACGGACTGAAAGATCTATGAACTATGAGCTAAATAAACCTTTCATCCTTTAACTCTGAGTGTTGCATATTTTATCTCAACAAGAAAAAGTAGCTAAAACATTTGATTTCGGGCAATAAAAAACTGAATAATGGAAAACCTCAGTGACACTTCCAAGCTTCCTCCTGGCCTCATATCAGGTGCTCGGCCTCCCAGAAAGGCTACTTCCTTCAACAAATCATTGGAATAAATATTGAGCAATGGATTTAGAAGAAAAGTTAAGAATCGCCTTCATTGGTCATCATGTGCAAACACTTATTTTACACACATTGTTCTCCTAGACAGGGTGTTGCTGTAGATAACTGGGTGAGCTTGTTTCGAAGGCTGTGTCTCACCAGGAAACTCTGTTCCAGCTGAGTCTGAGTCCAAGGAACATCCAATCTGAGGAAAGCATCTTCTGCTCCTGCTTCATCCTGCAGAAGAATGCTGCTTCTGCTGTCAGGAGCTGGTGGATCACGTGGGGACCTGCAAGGCAAATATGAGGGACTGTTTCCTTCCCTTCTACCAAAACAGGACTCCACTGTTCACTTATTTCTCAGAATCTGGTAGTCAGCTTATGGAACACGGCCATCTGCTCCCACTTAAAAACAAGTTAGAAAGTATTAGATTCAGCTTTTAAAGAGAGAGAGAAACATGAAATTTGGAGAAAAGCCTTTGTTTAATCACATCAAGTCTGTGTCACAAGCTGAACAATGCCAGGAAATTCCAAGCTAAAGGCAGATACTCCATCCATCACTCATGCCATGGGGCTTATTTTTATTCTTTCATGTGCCTGCAAACAGCAAAGGAAGCCTCAGAAAAATGCTAAATTTTTGGTCTTGTCAGTTCATGTCATAACTTTGGCATGACTCTCACTCTCTCTTTTTAATTTAATAAGAATATAAGATTACACTGACCCTGTTCTCCTATTTCTTGTTAGTGCTGAACAAGCACTTTTGGCTCTCTTGATTCAAATCACTGCTCTGTGCTTTCGTATGCTTAGCTATGAAATAAGCATTTTAACCTATCATCTCTCTTTAGGGCCTGAGAAAGGAATGATTTTAGCATTCTTTCTCTTACTCATGTATATAAAACTGTGTTCAATGGCATGTTTGCAGCTCTAAAGTTCACAGCAAACTATGAGCAAATTTCACAAAGGATGGGGTAGGATGGGATGGGAGATGGGGGGAAAAAAGTAAAAAGGACCCACAAGCAGAAGAATATTAAATCTCCTGCTTTGTGGCTGGTCATGATTTCTGGACTTCATAAGTGGGATGAAGAATGGATGTTTCTTCAAAACTATGCAATTTCCTTTTAAGTGTGGAAAATGTTCAGGTTACAAACTGTCCTGAATTTATATATTGTTGTTAGAGTTGTATGGTGCATAATAAAAAAAAAATGAAACCTGCCACAGACATAGAATTGTTCACTTTTCCACGGACAGAAAACTTGATCATTCCAACCAGCTGAGAACACAGAGGGAAAAAATTAACACTATACACAGCTGTTGTGGTCAGAGTTTTCAAGGGAATAGATTTGAGACGGGATCCATAATTTATAAGATTATTTCAACATATTCACACAAAAAGTTAAATGCACAACAGTGCAAGAGGTCTATTCATGCACTAGAGACCTGAAGAATCCCACAGCGAGGTCCTCCACCAGGCCAACCTAAGGTCTAGAAGGTCTACAGCCCATAGCAACGTCTCACGCAAGTCCTTATCAAGGATTTGCACTGGAAAGGTCCAAGAGCCAGTGATGAAAGCTAGCCAAGTGGAGGATCTGTGCCATGAGGCTGAGGGATCCGCACTGGAGTCAGGAAGCAGTGCTCAAGGCGAAGAACAAAAACCCCTCACCCCCAACACACACATACACCCAGAACAGCAGCCATCACTGGTGATAGCAAGGACTCAAGCTCCTCCTTAGATGAGAACAGCCAAGTTCCTATCAGGCAAATCAGCTATGGCAAGTTGCTCCAACAAAATCAGCAGCACACAGTCTTTCCCTCGAGGGGGCCTCCCACACGCAGCAACCCTGACGCCGCAGTCAGCTGGGTGGTCCCATGCAAGTTGACCCTTAATTAATCCCCTACAACAGCCTTTCCTGCTTTTGGTCATTGGTCATTGTATCAGAACAAAGCCTGCCAGAGAAAGATGAAAGAAATATGTCTTTAGTGAACAGACTGAACTTTAAGATCAATTTCTGATCAATCAGTCTTTCCTACTCAGGAGCAATCACCTATAAGCTTTTCTTAATGTAAAGGTAAATTGTCAGACCTACTTTTGATGATCTTCCATTCCAGTTTTAATATAAAAATATAGGATAAAGAGTAAAAAAATAGTACAAATGCACTCACCAAGACTTGGAATCCAAGTGTGGGAGCTGGTTATTGGAACACTGCAACCTCTCCTACTGTGGGTAAATCCATTATGTCAGAGCCACACAGACTTGAGTTTTGACTCACTGCCTTAACACACTGTGGTAGCATTTTCCAGGTGCCCGTCCTGTGGTTGTACATCTGGTGTGCACAGGTGATATAGCAGTGAGCATGAAAGAAATGTAGAATAGCATGTGACGTCCATATTAACATTCATACAAGTAGAGAACCCCAAATTGGTATAAATGCTGAGGGGCAAGTATAACGTTGCTGTGGCTTGGGAAGGATTTAAGTGAGTCTCTCAAAGGTTCATGTATTGGAACCTTGGTCTCCAGGTTGGTAGTGTAGAAGTGGATATTACGTTTAAGAGGCAGAGCTTAGACCAGTGGGGTGGCTTGGGAAGGGCTCTCTCACTCCCTGGCTTCTTGTTTTGTGATGTGCAACACAGAACCCTTGCCAGGTCCAGCACTGTGGTCTTTGAACTTTCAGCCTCCGAAACTGGAAGCGAAAAAATAAGCAGATTTACTCTGTAAAGTTAGCCGCCTCGGCTACTGCCTCAGAGTAGTGAGAAATGCATGACTACACAGGTGAGGAAAAAATACTCACAAGAAACCAGTTTAGACCAGGATTCCAGGTGAGGTTTCTGTAAGACCTCAGACAGGGAGAATATCATGAGGTCTGTTGAATGATCCTGCAGGCAAACATGGTCCCCAGTGAGAGACCCGGCCTACAGGACCTTCAAAACAAATGCAGCTCATGGGATGGAAAATCTCCTAACCACGTAGCAACCTGCCTGAAATTGAATCTTCTCCTTAGTAGAGTAGAATAGATTAATAACTACCACAGATTTGTACAGAAAATAGGTAACATCTAATATCTTTACCAAGACACCAAAACACCCTGGGAAAACTTCCAGACACCTGCCCAAATTCAAATGCCTTCTGAGGGTCCCCACAGACAGAAAAGAGGAAAATACATAAAATATTTACAGTGCTATAAAAAAGAAACAGTAAAGCGAGCACATGATGTCTGCAGAGAGAGATAATTAATAATGGAGCCCTGAGGGGTCAACACTATTTTTTAAATTCAACAAAGTATTATATTTGTGAAACAGTCTGTTCAAAAGTTCATACAACCAAACACCCAACCTGGCTTGTGTGTTTTGGATCATTCCACGTCTAAGAGTAAATTATTCACTCAAGCATTATTAAAGTTGAATTTTTCTACTTGGCAGTTGAGAATTTACTTAAGGTAACAAAAGAGATGTCTACAAAGTTTGGATTGGTACATGCATTTTTTAAAAGTTGGCTCAAATCTCAAATCTCCAAGAGTAAAAGAGGGTTCAACCTATTTACTAATGTGTGTCTTTTGCTCTTTTGATTTATAGTACATGTAAAAATAAATCCTGCTTTTGATTAGAACTGAAGTATGAAAACAACCAGAATTTACTTACCTATTCTCCTAGCAATGGGACAGAAGAAGATTTGATAGTAGAGTCTACACCAATGGAATTTTCTTCTATCATGAAATAACTCTTACTGACAACCTTTTCCCTTCAATGTCACTTCTATATCTTCTTTTTCCTGGATTAAATATAGTTTTTCTTTTTAGTCGCAGCTTAAATATGTTTTGATGACTTCAGACTTCTGAAAACAATTACAGTTTGGCCTGCTCTTATCTACAGACCATAGGAAAATGTCCTTGTATTAATCACTCTGCATACAATTTAACCTCCCTGAAAGGCGCATGTTATTCAAGATACATTAAAATTTGATTTTTTTCTTAGAAGACCAAAAAATATTAATTTGACCCCTTTTCTCCCAAATCATGATGACTAGATTCACTTTTATTGTGTTTTATCAATGCATTACTGAAATATCAGTCCATAAAAATAGATCTAAATTCATTTTGGTCTACTTTCATTAAGCTTATCAGAAAATAAAAGAATCCAGTATTAATTTCCCTGTTTGTTTGCGAGTTGTAGTTTATGCAGATGCCCTGAATTTTCACACTATATCATAGACAGTATTTCCTGGAATCTGCCACTATCCATTTCAACATTTGCAAGCTTCCTTTTAATGAACATCAACAAATATGTTCATATTCCATTACATTCACAATATTGAAGGAGAGAAAAAAACCTTAAAATTCCATAATAACCCCTTCTTTTAAATCTAACTATCATCTTTAAAATTCTTTCCATCCTTGCACCATCCATTTTTAATGGAAAATCACATCCTTTCTCTAAATTGGAAAAACTTAATATAATATTTTTTCAGACCAAGGTATATAGAAGAAATATTAAATAATATTTTTTCTGTTTTTGTTCATTTTACTTGTCTCTACATCTTTGGCACATCAGTTTACTCAACTGATGCACATTGTAAGTGAGTAAAATTTATACATGATTTCCTTATGAAAAATCTATTAAACACATTTTCTTGAGTTTCCCTGTGGATTGGAGTTATTTCTCCAGTTCATTTATCTCTCATTTATAATGATGAAATCTAGGTTTCCAATTTTCCTTTGCTCATGTCCTTCTTCTACTCTTCCCAACAGTTCTTTGTACCTTAAGTTTTGACCAAAAGTTCAAATTTGGAAGTCTTTCCTCATCAGTCAGTCACAACTCCTGCTCACCTCTCTGCATGTCCTCTTCTGTCAAGCACCTGCCTGATCCTGTGGGCAGAAAACAACTCATTAGACACAGATATTCTTCTTAGCATCTGAAGCAAAGGAAAAACAACTTACTCCTAAAATCACAATAACTAAACTAAAGAGAGTTAGAGAAAAAATGAGATACTTGAAATGCAAAAATACACAAAGACTCTATACTTCGTCTTAGAAATCAGACTACCAAGTTTCAGTAGAGAAAACATGCCCGGTGCCTTCTACTGTTGAAGAGCACCCACAACAACCTGATAATCCTGAGTTTAGAACACTTTTACTGCAGCAAGCTCTCAAAATTGTATGGTAATGACTTTCCATGGCTGTCACACAAATTAAGGCTTATGGAAAATAAATACTACCTAATCTACCAGTTTAAATTTCTACTTATTTGTAGAGGGGGACATCAAACAAATAAAAATAAGTCATACAATCTGTTTAATTTTGCACAGTCAATAGTTATTTATTTATATATTTGAGAATAGTTATTAGAAGAAAACTATTTTTAATTTCCAATGTCTAGGCTAACAATGAACATTCATATATTACAAGTTCCAAAGATGAATAGAAATTGTATCCATTGCCTCCCCTGTACAACAGACTTTTAGTTCATCCTCTTTTGGCCAGTGTATTTTAAATGCCATTTTACCTGATTGCTTGACCAACTTTTCCACTTTTCCAGGCCCTAAAAAGAAGTACCATTATCCACATTTCACACTGCAGAACTGATTGTGTGGTGATAATCAATACACAAAGATGATTTATTTTGGTCATCTCTATTATTTGACTAGTTGTACGAAAAAAGATAATTAAACATATTTACTTTTTTTGTTTGCCCTACTCTGTTACTCCTAACAATAGCTCTTTTCTTCCTGCTAATATAGGGATATGGTCCTAGGAGTGAATATACAGAGAGACATGCACATAGATCCAGCACTGTCTCCACTGATATTCGTCCCTCCGATTAGTGACACTTACCTGAGACTCTAGAAATCTTGCACCACCAAGGAAGTGCCAGACCATTGGTGACACTTTGTTACAGGTGATGCCCATAAGATAACTAGCTTCACTAAATTTCTGTGTTCCTTGGTGACTCCTGTGAATTCTTTGGTAGCAGGGAAAGTGAGGGAAGTAGCACCTCAAGTCTTTTCCATTCTGCACCTCTGAACTCTTATTTCATTGTCTTGGTCTGAAATATTCATGCCCTTAGGCTATAGGTTGGGACCAAAGGAGCTCAACCAGGTCAGCCTTTTGAAAGGAGTCCTGTATAAATCAAATATGTTCAACTGCCCTCAGCAAACATTTGTTTACTAATTACCAAGACTACTTTCATTTTAAGAAGGAGGTGCCTTTTAATTCAATGTAATAAATATTAAGCATCAACAAATGTGCTAGAAGATCTACTTTTGGACAGAAGCCTTCACTGGATGCCCTCAAGTATTGTCTGAAAGGATTCAATCCATTCACAACTAATTCCAGCCCTAAACTGATCTCAGCTCTCAGAAACGTCTTTCAGTTCTCAAGTCAAATCCTGTCTTTGGAAACATCTTCCCAGACTGCAGAATGTGGTAGGATAAGGTGCTTGATGTTTGGCTACACTTAGACTTTTGAATATGACATTCTCGGAGACAAATTCCAGCAACATGTTTTCTTCCTAGTATCTTGTTTGTGACCTGTATGTTAACAATTCTGGGAGTACGAGAAAGAGGTAAACAGCCGGTGCAAAAGTAGGATACTTAATTCCTTCAGAGGAGCGCATGGTGTTAGGAAAGAGGAGACATTGACAGACACATGGAAACTGGCAAAGTAGACTGAAGACTGATGTGATGTAAAAACTAGGAATCAAAAGACTCCATTTCAGAAAAGGTGGCGGTGTGACAGACTGCAGCCCTTCCAGGGGGAGAACCACCAGCAACTCCTGCGATCTCCACCATGTTGAAATTTAGGACGCTGGGAAACCAAACAACCAGCCTGCCTCCCTGCTAAGCAATAGTGAACCTACTGATGCACGGCCTAGAGTCAAACATCCCACTTCCCCTACCCCCTTTCTTCTGCCCCCCCATTAACAAATGGGAACCAGAAATCTGAGCATCTCCTGGGAGGTTGCCATAGCAAATAAGGGAGACTTTCTTCTACCATCTCTTTGAAGGCAAATATTTTTATCACTATTTTGCTGTATTCTGATTAATTGTATGTCTCTATTCAATATTCTGTTTTGATAAGTTCTATAATGTTCTGTATTTCATCTCACTTTGATATACATGATTGAAAGAACAACTATTATAAAGATAATGAAATATACTGTGATACCTATTACTGTTATCCCAGTAACCTGCTGTGAAGTTCTGTACCAATTTCACTGTACGATATTAGTTGGCTGTACTCTGTCTTGTTCTGTTGTATTTTACCACTTTCAAAATAAAATTTAAAAAAAATAAAAAATAAAAGACTGTCTCAAAGGTCCAAATGGAAACACTGTCATCTCATTAAAAGTCATTGCTCTTCAATACCATTTCCCCAGGCCAGGGCAGATGAGAAATGCTTTTCTCTCGTATCTATACCATTGCACTGGTCAGCCACCTTCCTTCTAGTCCTCAGGGCTGTCTTCTGTCTGTAGAGACGTGTGAGGTCCTGCAGTGTTGCTGACTGAATTACAGAGACCAAATGCCTGAGAATCTCCTTGGATATCTGCTGAAAATCATGCTTTCTGCTCCTGTACTCTAAACACAGGAATCACTGGGACATTCAATTAGCATTTTAACACGATCTATAAGGAAATTATCAAATGACAAACAGCAAGGAGAGAAGCATTAGACAAAAAGTCACAAAACTCTGTTGACTCCAGGTTTAAAATTCTCACACTTATGCTATGATTTTAGGATTAAAATTATTATTGTTTTTTCCCCTTTGGTTACTTTGAACTGTTCTTCATTTTTTCTGCAATCCTTAGTTCTATTATTTATTTGTTTATTTCACTAATACAAAAAAATAAGCATTACTATATACCCTTGGATAAACCTATATGAAACTGATTTAAGGATATTTAAGGACCAGGGCCCACTGGACCTTGGTAGGAGCAATATTCTTGAGCAATTCATTTGCTGAAGCCAAAACCCATAAATTTTTAACTGTAAGAGAGGAGTTTATGCTTATGCTGTGTTTATTATTAATTGAACCCTCTAGGACTTGTACTTCGCTTGCCCTTTATCTAAAATGTAGATGTTAAGCATATAATTAATAAATGAGATGTTCCTTTAAATGCCTATTTGGAATTATCTCAGTCTTGCTAAGTTGCATGCCAGCACATTCCAGGAGACAGGGTGCCCGATGTAAGCAGCTGCAGGTGTTCTGAATGAGTGTCTGTTAACGAAGCCATAGGGCTGTGGAGGAGCCTTTCACTTCCTCCTGTCAAGTGCACTGAGGATGCACGACAGAGCAATTTGGCCACCGACTGTACATAAAGCAGCAGCAAGCACTTGGCAGGTTTATTCTGTACCTTGCCAGACTTTTGACATTTGCCTTCCTCGCATGTTTCTCTGGGGTTTTTTTTTTTTTCATTTTTAATTCTTTAATATAAAAAATACATTTTTCAATGGAATAACAATCCATAGCTAAAAATATGATTATACTAATTGACAATAATTATGATGAAACATGATTTTACAATATATTTTGCAGAGCACATCGACTGTTTTCAGGATTTTCTTAAAATCAAAATCATTTCTCTTGAGAAGATGATTGACAGTGATCTGTAATCTTTGTCAGACTCTATGTACTTTGCAAAGATCCTACTGACAAAACCTTTAAGTCATGCTTTATGTAAATACACACTAGAGATACCATCAACATGATCAAAATGGTTTTTTGTTTTTATTTTATTTTTAAGCGGTACTGGGGATCGAACTTATGACCACGCACTTGCAAGGCAGGTACTTATGCTGCTGAGCTAAATCCCCAGCCCTATTCCTGTGCTTTTAAAGAAATCAAACTTGAGTTTGACATTTTCCATCATGAAAATATGTCTTAGCTGGATACAGTTCTATGTTGTTTCCAGGATGATTTCTTAAGCCTTTTTCATCAAGTAATTAAAAAACACTACCCTAAAACCTGAGCAAGAGAGAGCCCTTACCTTGGGTCCTGTATTTTAAAGAACCTAGATGCACTGAAGAAAAACAGAGTGCCTGAGTATCCTCAGGACACAGACCTTAGTTCTCTCTCGTGAAACCAAATACACTGTGTTGCTTCCCTAACCAACAGGACTGACTGGGTAATACTTTGTCACATCTCTTGTTCAGTGTCCTTGACACAGAAGCCAAGAGCAAGGGTTGTAGCTCAGCTGTAGAGCGTGTGCCTTAAATGTATATGCAGTTATATCTTTTAGAGAACTTTCTTTTCCTTTCTTTTGTACAATGACAATTACACATTTTGGATTTTGTTGATCCCACAGTTCTTTTATTTCTTGATTCCCAGTAACAGCAACTAAACCCAGAGCTTCAGCCATGATTAGCAAAATTCTCAGGGCTAGCTACATCCCTTTCCCTAGCTGGAGATTCTTAATGTACTTTATAGTTAGCAGGTTATTTACTGAATCTCTTGATTGTCAACATCATCATCACCTAAAAGCATGCCTCAAATCAAGGCATAGCATTTAAATGTTTTTCAATCATTATGCATATTATCATGAATCTGAAGGTATGATTTTAGGCACGCTACTAAATGTACTTTGATAGTTGGCAAATGAATATAATATACTACAATTGACTAATGTGACCATTTAAATTTAGCCTTATGATGAACACAAATGTGAAGAAAACTCTGGAAAAAATAAGTAAAAGAAATAGTTTTTAATTTTACAGTATCTATACATTTTTCTTTAAATACCCTAACTGGTACTCAAAGTAAAATCTAAGATTTTTAGTTAGGGTTAATCATCTCAGTTTTCTTTCTATAACAAGATGAAATAAAATGGTAATGATATTTTTATAGGACAAGATAGCACATAGAAATTGCAT